GCATACCTTAAATTAATTACTGCAAAATGGACACATTTTAATCTTCATATTAATTTAATGTATATCTGTACAATGACACAACTCAATCTTGATTCTAATGGAAGGTAAATGTACAATGTTGGGATTTTATCTCAATCAAAATTCCTTACCCTAGCTAGTAGAAGCAAAAAATGAATACTAGCTAGAACATAGTGTTGAAAAACATCAAAAAGAAAAAAATTACAAAGAACCTAATCCCAAGGTTTTCTCCTAAGTTATCCTCAAGCAATGTTGTCAAAATCATGATTTAATCATAAAAGGTTTTACGATTTTCGGTATACATTTTTGAGTAAAATTTATGATAAAATCGAAATTCAGTAAATTAGGGGGTAAAATCATAAAATTGTGATTTTACTATGAAATTGGTTAAAATCTCGATTTTACCCTCAACTAGGCAGCTGGACCATTTCCTGTTGGTTTCCATCTTGCGTTAGTGGGATTTAACCAACAGACCTTAAATTAAACCCATTTCTTATTTTAAAAGCCCACAAGTCACAACCCACAACCCACAACCCACAACCCAACAAGGCAACAACGCATCAATCCCACGCTTCTAGAAATAGAGTGTTCGGGACAAATTTGATCTGAGATCTAGTAAGCTTCTTTAGTATTCACTCTTCAGTTTCCCTTAGGGGTCGCCGCAGGGGAGGGAGAGATTGGATTGGACTGCCGTTGCTTATCACGCGCTGCACCATTGCCACTGCTCATTGCCTGCCGCTGGTGACTGCCTGCCGGCTGCCGTTGCTCACTGCCACTGGTCCACTGCCGCTGGTCACTGCTCAGGCATTTGCTACTGCTCACTGCGCCTTGCTGGCGTTGCTGCCAGCGGTGCTTGCTGACTCTTTTTGTCCTTCTCCTCAACTGAGGTATGCTTTCTCTCTTGATCTTGACTCTGAAGACTTTGAATTTGTTTGTGTGGCACTGTATAATTAATTAGGAACTTAGGATTTAGTACTGAGATTTGAGTTTTACAAATTTTATTTGTAGTTAGTTTAAATGTTTAACTAATGACTTATGTTAAATTAATTAATTTATTTGTATTATTAGATATTTAGATTTTAATTAGTTAATTTCAAGTTTTCATCTCTAAATTTGATTTATTATT